CCCCAAAACCCCAAAACCCCAAAACCCCAAAACCCCTTAGGTGAGAATCGCAATTTAAATTCAAATTTTATTAAAATGGCAGACTTTTTGAAGCCCAAGAAAAGTGTAAAGAAGACTAAGAAGTTGGATTTGAAGAGAAATCTGAGGGGTAGGAAGGTTTCGCAGGCTTTAGGACCTGAGAAGCTGAATATAAAACCTCATATGCTGATTTTAGAGAAATTTAAGAATCAATTTTGTGTTAAAAATACTAAGTATATTGAAAAGTTGTGGGAGAGGGAAGCAATTGGAGACCATCAGAAGTTAAGTACTCTAGATCTTCAGATCCCTGAAGCTAAAATTCTACCTGAGTTGCATGACAAACTCATGTCATGAGACTTACCTGATAATATAAGCAAGATGAAATTGCTTGGAAAAATTAATGCTGAGGGTACTCCTCAGATAATCTTTAAGGACATCATTGGCTCAGAGGCTTATAAATAAGCAAATCTTAAAAGAACCTTCAAGACTTGAAGAAGACGCTTACAGATTTGGCTTCGAAGATATTGAAGGTATGGAAACCTCTAGAAGAATCAATAGACATAATAGAATGACAAGGAAAGAGCTTTTAGAAGTATGTGTAGATCATGCCAAGAAAATTCCAATAATTTTACAAAACAAGGACACTGAAGAAGAAAAGAGGTTATTTACAGAAAGTGATTTGGCTCTCCAAGAGGAAACAGAATTGATAATGTTCTCAAAATTTTTCAAAATCTTTCCTATTATTAAGAGAAAAGATTGCGGATTAGACATAAGGTATACCTACTTAATTCCAAACATTGAATTTATATTTTGCCCAATAAAATCTCTACCTTTTGGATCCTCCAAAGCTTTGGGGTGCCTTGAAGGCAAAGCAAGTCCAGAATACTCCATCAATTTTAAGGACTGAAGAGAAAGATCTGGATTTTTGAGTATTGATGGTAAGAATAAGCTGATTCCGTACACTACTTCAGAGATTAAGAACAAGCCGATCTCCGGGCTCTGGATTTATAATGACACTCTAAAATTTGAAAAGAAGAGTAAAGTTAGCCCTAATAAGCTAGTTCAGAAAACATGCTTAAATTGGCAGGTCTGGTCTCACTGACTCCGATTTATTTACAGTCTTAAGAAGATCAGAAACAATATTGAAACAGCCTCAAAGAGCGGAACTTCATTACTTCTTTGCATTTTCTTTAAGCATCTTGCCAAGCCTCTACTTTGAGAGTTCAGAATCAATGAAGTTTCCAATACTGTTAAGAAAAGGAGAAATTCAACAAAGCTAGAGAACCAGCTCAGAAACTTGAAAAACAGATGGATTGTGTATACCTTTGATGACAATAGTTTCCCTGGAGGCTATCCGACTAATAGAATGAACAATATTACATCCTCGATAACCTTCTCTGCTTACTGTAAATACGTTCTAAAGCATAATGCTAGAAAATAGGAATTTTGAGAGCATGAAGAGAGCAGTCTCGTGTAGTTATACTCATGATAATTCTGAAAATATCCATCCTAATCGTTTAAGTACCTCGAGTAGTTACATAAACCAATCTCATGATGCAGGTCGAAATAATATTCTAGGAATTTCGTACTCATACAGTAATCGAGAGAATTCAACTCTTCAAGAGAATGATACATCATGGTATAGTTGAAATAGGCCTCCGAGTTCAGTTAGTATAAGTCAAAGAAAGGTATCTCAGACACCAAGTTTGAACCCTCCTCCAAAAGCATCAAGCTCCCAAAAAGAAGACCTAAAGATTAATTCCAATCTCTACAGGCCGCTTTCAAATGCTCCGATAGGTTTCACTAGCTATAAGCCTTGTAAACCATCAAGCTCGATGGGTAACCATAAGAGGTGCTTTAACTCTCTTTCCACTATTATTAAAGATGAGACTATTCCTCAAGAGGACATATCAACTATCCATCCGCTAGAAAACAGCAATGCTGTCAGCCCAATGAAGGGTGACGAAGAAGGGGCTCGAATAAGCTTCATGCAGAGCCTCCAGGCTCGGATTTGAGACCTTGAAAGACTAGTTGAAGAGAAATAAAAGCGTCATTAATCAACAAAAACAGACCATAGTTAATATGAAAAACTCTTTAAACAAGCAAACTCAAAGTAAGGGGGTTCAGGTTCAAGACTGAGATTTTGGCGTTTCCCAAAACATGACACTCAATGATTACTACATTAGTAATTCTACACAACAAAGAGAGAAAGGAATAAAGACAGAAATTTGAAACATGAAAGGTCCTGAATACTATGAAAAGGAAACAAGCAAGTTGAAGGGTGACTCAAGTTTTCATATTATTCCTTCTCAGGAATATGACACCCCACTTTGAAATATGAGTAAAATGGATAAGCTGTTCGGTAAGACTTTGAAACACTTTTCTATTGAAAGAAATTTAAAAGAAAGAAGTGCCTCCCATACCAAGAGTGAAAAGAATATGGCATCAACTAGTGTTAAGAGCAATCTCTCTAGAAAGGGGATTAAGATTGATATGAAGAAGTTAAACCTGAAAATTCTCCCTGGGAATTTCTTATTGAACAAAGAGAAGTCCTTCAACTTAAGCACAAAAGATTTAAAGAGCACAGGGAGAACAAAGAAAAAGGGAGACTATGAATCTGATTCAGAACTGAACAGCAATAGATTCAACCAATCGAAGAGCATCGGAATTCAGGATTCCTCTTATGTATCTCAATTTAGGATGAAGATGCCAGTTATGGATAACGATTATCAGAGTAAGAAATTAGGTGATCCATCCGAGCCTAAATCTTCCTCAAGACATTATAAAGACTGGAGTAGGACAATTCCTGAGTTTGGAATAAATTCTGATTCCGAGTTAGACACAGAGCATTAATGTATAATCAATTTACTCTCTATATGTCGGGGTTTTGGGGTTTTGGGGTTTTGGGGTTTTGGGG